TGCAATTGAGATGACCCAGGGTTTAGACCTGGGGTTCCTCTGCCTCTCCATGTTCCCCAATTCCATCCCAAAACAACAAGAGAAAAAACAGGACTTGACACCTCAAATCCCAAGCGGTGGAATGAGGCAACCTAAGACTCCCCGGACCCAGGATCATTCTCTAACAAAACATACCTGGTTCTAATTACTTTAGTAATTTAGTAATAACTCATGTTGCCTCCAAGCTTTTGTTCTCACATGTGCGTTTTCTGTGCATAGAGAATATTATAATTATGTGGGAGGGAGACTGGATTTTGTTGTTCTTGTTTCAGTTTTTTTGAGACAGGGTTTACCTGTAGCCAACAGCTGGCCTGAAACTCACTATGTAGACCAGGCTAACCTTAATCTCACAGAGATCCACGTGCCTCTGCCTTCCAAGTGCTGGTATTAAAGGCGAATGACACAATGTCCAGACTTAATTATGTGTTTTTAAATAACCTGATTTTTCCCATAGAGGACTGTCTTAATAAAAAAAAATATTGCTCATGGAAGAAGGGAGAGAAAAAATTATCACCAGACTGCATCTTCACAAAATGGCTGCCCACAAAGCAAGGGTTTCTGAGTAGTCCTTTGTCTGCTAGGGGCAGAGGAGATTTAATGCTTACATCTCAGTTATTCACCCTCACAGGAACTTCTCCACTGAGGGTGATTTGGAGAAGGTTGGCAGCATGGACTTGTTCCTCCAGATGACAACTTCTCAGAGAAGGAAGAGGCAAGCAGGCAGGCAGGAGGAACCAGACACCAGTTTTCTCATAACAGCTAAGGACACATGTGGTGGAGGCCTGAGAAGAGATTCTCCACAGGATATGCCCAGGAAGCAAGCAGCATCCCTCTGAGCAACCCCTGCTGGCAGCTGCTGTAAATAACCTTGGTGTGCCAGCAGTTTTACTCTTGGGTCTGGGCCTCACCAGAAACTACTGCAAATCCCTCACAGACAATGTTAGTAGAGAAACCTGACATACCAGAGCCCTCCTCAGCTATGGGCTGTCCTTCATTGTTCAGATGCAGAGTTTCTTGGGGCAGCATCTGACCTGCTCTGCCTCATCTCTCCCTGCTCTGGGCAACAGCCTTTGCTTGGGCGAACTTTAAGGGACTGGATCAGGGTTGGTAAAAGTCAGAGGGAAAAAAGACAGGGAGAGCATAATAAAGCCCCAAGACAGAACCTGGGATCTCTCTCTCTCTCTCTCTCTCTCTCTCTCTCTCTCTCTCTCTCCTCCTCCTCCTCCTCCTCCTCTTCTGGATTTTAACTCACCTCAAACTAAATGTTATATTCCTCAGATCTTGGAAGTTTGGGCCTGTTCCTTTTTGACCAGTTTCCCACTGGTAGAGACCGAATTCTCCCTTTTCCAGGGCACTAGTTTGAAGCACAGAGCCCACAGGTTTAGATAACTGCATTTGGATAAATGCCTGGACTGTCAGTAACAGTTATTAAAAACTTGTTATAAAAACATATCACACAGTGGTTAAGAACATGAAATTTGAAGTTTGACAGAACCAAATGCCAATTCTCAGATTGCCACTCACTAATCTGTGTGATCTTGAACAAATTAGCTAACCTCTCTGAACCTCAAAAATCCACATCTATAACTACAGATAGCAATATCTATCTCTTGGGATCATAGTGATGATTAAACAAGATGGCTTGTGAATAGAACACTTAACCCAGCAGAGAGGCCTCATTTAAAAAAAAAAAAAAAGGATATTATCGTTGTGTGCCAAGGCATCACATGGGCTGATGCAATCCAGAACTGTACATGCCTCTGCTAAAATCATGTTGTATGGTGCTGTACACCTGTAATCCCAGCACCTGGGAGGCAGAGAGACCAGAAGCTTAAGGTCATTCTCAGCTGCATAGTGAATTGGAGACCAGCCTGAGCTATAAGAGATCCTGTCTTGAAAAAAACAGAAGGGAAAAGAGGAGAGGGAATGAGGGGAAAGGAAAGGAGAGATGGGAAGACAAGAGACATTTTCCTCAGAACAGTGCCTCACTTGGGCCTGAAATAGTGCACTAACAATCTAGGATTGCACTTTTGACCTCCAGTAGCCTAGGATGTTTGCACAGGGTCTGAGAAACAAAGTTTTCTCCCACCCGGGTTCTCAGATGTCTGGCTATGAGGATTTCTTACAGCCCAGCCTAGAGCAAGTAATTTTAGACTTTGTCTAGGGAGAAAAATAAATCTCCAACCTACCTTCCCTTTAAGCTCTTCTGTTGCTTATCTTAGCAGTTTTAAAGGTATTAATGATGAATCGTCCTACTACAGCAAAGCTGGACAGCAGAGTCTGAAGAGTGGGAGGGATCCAGGCAGGAGGAGGCTGCTGCTCTGTAATCCTCTCATCTCTGTCTCCAACATCCATAGAATATGTTCCCAGACACAATAGAGAAGGCACTGACTTAAGGGTGAACGGTGAATGGAAAATACACACATGTGGGTACACATGTACACCACGTCTTCTAGTAGTAGACTGGAGCCCCATGGGTCAGCCTGCACTTTATCTTGCTGCATTGGGGGTGGTGAATCTTCTTATGCCATTCACTCTTGAAGTGCTCAGTCCCAGATATAGACACTTTACAAAGTGAAAGAGCAAGGTCCCTGATCTATTCTTCCTTTTCCTCTCTATGAAAAGCATCAACTCTCCTGAACATTTTTGAAACTTCCAACTCCATTACAGATAAGACAGGTGGGTAGAGAGATGGCAAGACCTGTTCAAGGAGAAAGGACCCCTGAAATCTGTTCAGCAGGTACTGTAACTTGGACCAGGCCACAGGCACAAATAGTCCTATAGAGTCAAGGTCTCTGCTGGAGTCTCATTCTAGAGCTATTTTAGATTGCCATAGGCATCTAACAGACACAGCACAGCCTTTACCACACACTAGCCTGGCTCTTGCTCCAACTTTCCCACCCAGGGAGACTTGAGAGTTAGAATGTGGTTCATTTAAAGCTGAGTTTTGGGTTCATCTTACTCACATGGGATCTGGCTGCCTTCACGTGCTGCCACAGGCCCTCTCATGCTCAGGAGCACAGAAGGAAGAGAAAGAATCATCTCTGGCTAAAACTCGCAGGGGACGAGCTTGGGAACTAACATCTGACCACCACTTGATATGTCTAGCAGTGAGCACAAAATAAACCTGTGTAAATGGTACCTTAACAACTGTGGAAACAGATGTTCTGAGACGCAGTGACTTTCCCAAGGTCATCCTAGTAGCACACGGCAGAGCACTGGGCTCAACTGTGACCACAAACACAGGGCCTCCCCTGCCACCTGGCCCTGCTCACCTTTCCCATGGGGATAGAGTTCTAAGGCCATTGCCTAAAAGCCAGGCAAAATGAGTTCTACTCTGAAGACTTGCTAGCCTCTGGCCAGTGGCCCTAAACCACTTAGTGCTCAGACCATTCTGCTCACTAGTCCTGCTAAAGAACTCCACTGAACTCACAAACAGCTGACATGTGACTCTGTGACTCAGGCCAAGCAAATGCCAATCAGAGTTGGTGGGCACGATTTTCCTCCTGTACTGAGTCACCCTCTAGGCTGAGCTACAGAAATTCTCTGAAACTCAACCACCTACTTAGCCACAGCTGCTCCATTAGAGAAAGGCCAGCAGAGGACCTACAATCTCTGATGACCTCATGGTTAGATGGTGGCCAAGGACAACCTGAAAGTCCTTCTTGCCTGGGAGATGGACCTTCCTCACTGGGCAGGGTATTACGTGAGAAGCGCTGAAGACACAAGAAGCCCCACTGTTAACCTCCACACAGTCTGACAGATACTGAAGTTTCGGTGGAATTTTTACAGCACCATTCCAGGATTTTCTCAGTCCCTGGAAGTGCCTGTCAACAAGGGCAGTGCCTTCAAAAGAATCTTTCTTCTCCATTTCCATCGCTCCAATCCAACCCAACCTGCCTCTTGTTCACAGCTAAGCTGCCCCCCAAAGTAGTTCTAGTCAGAAATTTCCTAACTCATGGCCCATTAAAATATTTCTGAAGGGAGGGAGTAGGGAGGGTGGAAAACGGGAGGGAGGGAGGGAGGAGAGAGAGAAAGAGAGAGAGAGAGAAGGGAGATGAAGAGAGGGAGAGGGTATCAAATTTATAAAGAAAGAATCAAGTCCACTGACAGCAGACTGGACCGAGTGGCCTCAGGACTTCGGGCTTGGACCCCTGACAGGGCTGTTTGGGCTTTAAAAGGAACACAAGGCTTCCTTCCGGGATGGCCGCGCCCCTGGGGGAGCAGCCTTGGCGTACAGCAAGTATCCCTTTAGAGTACCGTGTGCACAGGTATAAATGTGGCCGCGGCCTCTCTCTCTCCAAACAGTGGCCCCACTAGACTGGTGGCCCCCAGTGCACGTCTCCTATCTCTGCCTTTCGGTTCCCAGATTCGCTTCCCTCGAGGGAGGAAGGGCTCTTCCAACTCTAGCTCCAAATTCTCAGAGATGCAGCCCCAGGACGAGGAATTAAATATTCATCATAGGCACGAACGTTCTGCTTCTTTTGTCAATGTTACCGTGAAGGTCACGGGCCTGAGGCCGAGTAGCTGGGGCTGGGGTCGCCGGCCGCGGCGGAGCCTCCCTACTTGGCTGCGCCCTGGGCGCGCTCCAGGCGGAGGGACCCACCGAGCTGGCCTTCTCCCGGGTCCTCCGCCAGCACTCGCCTCTGCAGCTGCCCCGTTACCTCTGGAGTTCTGGGGCCCTCCAGAGCTCCAGAAGCTGAAGCCCAAGTCCACCCCGTGCCGGAGCCGCCCGGCACCCTTGCCGCGCCAGACCATCGCGCCCCAGGGCTCCGTCTCCAGGCAACCGCGGCTGGAGCTGCAGGAGGAGCCCCGCGCCCGCGCAGGGTCGGGCGCACCAGGAGAAGCACCGCCTCGCACCTCGGTTCTCAGGCCTCCCAGGCTGGGGCGGGGCCGGAGAGGACAAAGTTGCGGTGATCGCTGGCTGGGTAAAGCCAGACAGGGCGCAGCCGGGGACTCACCTGTCCCGCGTGGGCCGTCGCGAGGACTCGGCCCCTGGACTCCGCCCGAGTGTCTGCGTTCTCCGACGGATCGCGGGCGCGCAGTCCCTTGCCCAGGATGCCCGAGTCTGGAGGCGACCAGCCCGGCCGGAATGGGGAGCCGGGAGCTGGGAGCTGGCGCACGCGGCTCTGCTGGCTCCCGATCCCTCCCTCGCCGCCAGTCCCAACCCGGTCCCGCCCGCTAGCGGCTCTGGGGAGCGGCCCTGGGCTCGGATCTCGCAGCCGAGGGAGCGCGTGGGGTTGCAAAGGCCCGGGTAGAGTGCCACCCTCACGCACGCTGGCCGCGCCGGCTCTGCGGAGCGGAACGGAGCTGGGTGGAGCGCGGCGCGCACTGTTCCCTCGCTTTCCGAAAGGCCACCCTGGCGGCAGGGCGCCGTGACGCAGGCTTGACTCACGCGCGGGTCCACGTCAACGCGAGGCTCTCGGGCCGTGAGCGAGGCTCTGATGGCCGACGCAAGCGAAGGGGTGGGCAGGGAGCAGGAGAGGGGTTGCCAAGGAGCATCTTCTTGAGACCTCCTCGAAGGAAAATGGGGACCCCGTGGCCAAAGCCCTCCCGAGCCCAGAGCCTCACTTTTCATACTCACTTCCTTTCGACCCTCCTTCGGGAAACCAGTCCCACTTAAAGTAGTTATTTATTCTTGCAGCTCTGAACCTTTCTATCTCCGCGTGTATGTTGCCTTGGTTCCAGCCTTTGCGCTGCCTTTTCCCTCTGCCAACGTTCCATCCTACTATCCTGCAAGGCCAGGCCCTGCACGGCTCAGCTTCGCAGAACCCTGCCAAATGAGTAGAGGGGGCGGTGAACAGGAGGGAAAATTGTGACTGGGCACCAGAAAGGTATTGGAGAATGCTGACCTCAAAGGATGTACAGACAAAGGGGGGAAGGGCAGCCCTTGTGGAGGGACAGTGTGTCCAGACCATAGATGCAAGCATGAAGATGGTGTGCAGACAGGTGGTTGCATGATCTGGAGCAGGGCTGGGAATGATAAGAACTAAAGTTAAACAAGGGAATAGGACCTGTCCTGCTAGAACTGCTGTCTGTAGAGCCTGCAATGAATCCTCTCTTTTCTAGGGGACCTTTGGTATCATAAGGGAGGGATAGAGGAGGTGAGCTTGTCTTCATTATCCTAGTGAAAATTGATAAGGACCCTCAGCAAGAACTCGGATGGGACTGGGATCCTGTCCTTGCAGACTAATTTGTAGTTGACTTTTATTACTTATGGCACAGAATGCTTTGCCTTCAGGTCAGTTTCTGTGGGATGGGTACAGGGCTAGATCCTGGTGATATGACACAGGGAGGAACTCAGGCCTAGGAACACCCAGTGTTTTATAATGGGCGAAAAGAAACCTGCTGGTGATTTGCCCTAGACAGAGTCTTTATCCTACTGGAAAGCAAAAAAAAAAAAACTGCCCTCCACTAGAGGGAGTCACCATTTCTGTTTTTCTATGGCAGTTTGCTACGCAAACATCCTTCAAACCAGTCTGCAGCAAAAAGTCATCAGTGCCTCTGCCCATGAGACTTCTGGAAATGAAAGGTACCCATTGGGAATTCTCTTTCCTGATAGATACTTCTTTTAGTCAACAAGTATTCAGCAAGTCGGTTGTTTGCTTGACACTGCTGCAGCTGTGAGGATAGAACAGACAAGAAGTCAATCATGACCCATGAGTTTATGGAACTTACATTCAGGTGGACTTAACCAAGGAGACAGCAGCATGGAGGCATGGAAGGAAGTAGCAAGTGATGCAAGAGACAAGACAGAGGTAATTACAGTCTGACAGCTGAGGTGGTGTGAGAGGTGAGAGGAAGGAAAGCCTCCACATGGGTGGTTTAAGGCAAGGGGGCTGGAGGTGAAGTAGTGCTGGGAAAGGGGAGGACTTTGGAGTCTGACAGACCTAAGTTTTCATCCAGACTGTATTACCTAGAGACCTTAGGCAAGTTCTATAACTGAGATGATCCTCAGTTTCCACATCTGTAAAATGATACATACAATAAAATAATACACTCCATGTAGTTGTTGGGATGATCACATGAGATGATTATTTTAAACTAGCTGATATCACATGTGCTTAATAAATGACTGTTCCTAGGTTGTTGTATTGTTACTAACCAAGACAGAGATTCTAGAAAGAGGAAATTTTAGAAAGAAGGTAAAGAGGTCATGAGTTTGGGACATACTAAGAACAGCATGGCCTCAAGGTATAAAGGCCCTTGTATCACATACACCTGTTGAGTCCTAATCTTGAATGAACTCAATACCTGATTTCTTCATGCACTGGTCTCTGGAAAAAAGGCATACTATGAATCCATCTCCTTCTGCCATCATAGTCACCAGCCTTGAGTGGGCTCCTTGTGTTCCCCAGTGCCCCCATGTGACTCTGTGAACTAGTTATTCCTCACTCCAACATTCCCTACTTTCTTCAAACACCCTCCTTACCTACTCCTTACCTCCTTGCTGTCTCAGGAGCTTGGAGTAAGAAACTCTCTAAATTTTCCACTGAGAGTGGCATCTGCCTGGGCATTTACATTCTCTCCTCCTTTAAAGCCCTGAGAGAGCAGGTGAACCTCTCTTGCTGTCAGAATCCAGTCCTCACCTGGGTCCCACAGCCTTGAGTCACCATCAGCTATCACAAGCTCTCCTAGATCATCATCAGCTTCTTCCTTGTTACTGGGTCGTTTTCAGCAGCATTGAAGCATGTTCAAATATCTCCTCTAAATGTCACCTTGCAAGGCTGGAGAGAAGGCTCAGCAGCTAAGAGCTCTGGTAGCTCTTGTAGAAGATACAAGTTCAGTTCCCAGCATCCACAGGGCAGCTAACAGCTACCTGTAATTCCAGTTCCAAAGGCTCTGACACCCTCTTCTGGCCTCTACAGGCATTGCACACATGTATGCATTTACATGCAGGCGGAACACACATGCACATAAAATAATAAAACCCTTTCTCCTTTTCTTTCAAATCCTCTGTCTCTATTTCCTCACCTTCCCCCCACTCCTTAGCATGTTTTTCCCTACTACATTGTCAGAATGGATCACATTAAGATCATGGATGACCTCTGACACTAAATCCACAGGACGTTTTCCAGTCCTCATTTTACCAACCTATACTTTCCTAGACACCCTCTCCTTCCTTCTAACATTCTCTTTCCTCTCCTTCTTGAAGTCCCTAATCCTGAGTTCCTTCCTGTACTCTGGCCACACGATGACATTCCCTTACTGACCTTGACAAGCTAGACTTCTCAGAGCCCTGTCTCTTTGTCACTCTAAATTCTTTTCCTTAAACCATCTCCTCTACTGATGACATCAGACAGTCTTCTGAGCCCTACATACTCTACTCCATCTTTCTAGAAAGCTCTCTCAGGATTATCTCAATATTCAAAGAACTACCCTGGGAAACATTCAACATTTTGCTTCTTGTTCTGCCTCCAATTCTCCCTGCCAGAAGCCTAATAGTTACCTTGAGACCCCCTTCCTTCTCACTCCCTCATAAAATCCCTCACTAAATCCTGAAGGCTTTAACTACTAACTGCCTCTAGAGTCTTGCTGGCTACTTCTTATTTTTGTTGTCACAACTTTAGTCCAAGCTATGACCATCATTCACCTGGACTCTCATAATTCCCTCTCATTCAAATTCCAGCTCCATTCCTTTTCTCAACCCAAGACAGATCTTTTAGAAGTAAAAATGTAATCATATTGTTCTTAAGACCACAGTGCCTCAAGGCCCTTCCTGGTTCTAGCCTCATCTATCACGCCCCCATGTCTTTCCACTCCACCAGCTCACTGACTCCACCAGCTTTTTCTCAGCTCTTCCCACTCTTCCTACTTTCCTGGCTCAGGCTTCAGTCCATCTGCCCTCTCTGCCAAGAATCTTTTAAGGCCCCTCCTCCTCTTCCCTCCCTTCCTGTCTACTTACCCAACAGAAGCCTGTGTGCCTGCCTTTTCTGACTGTGGAGAAGAATTAGGGCCAATCTCTCAGGTGGACATTTCTTACCCTTTGTAGCCCTTGTCACAATTGTGATTAAGTATTTAAAGACATAATTGTCTATTTCAGGACCATCTCCCCAGTTTATACACAAAGGCAGAGACCATGTCTATTCTCAACACATGGCGAGCCCGCCACAAATATTTTCCGGAAGAATAGAAAAGGGGTGGTTAGAAATACTGGTAGGAAGTCAGGAAGTAGGCTGGAAATGGATTCAGAAATCACAACAGCAGAAGATGTGGTTGAAGCAGCGGAGAAGGTGAGACCAGCTAAGAGGTCCACTCTTGGAGATGGTCAGGAGAGAGCCTTGGTGGGAGGGCTGATTTCTAAGACAGGAACAAGGAGGGACAAGAAAGAATACAGGGAGGAGGAAGCAAGAGGTGAGCGGACAGTGTGTCTCACAGACGAATTTCTAGAAGTGTCAAAATCTGCACAGATGTCAGGGGTGAAGTCTGAAAGGTGTCTCTGGTGGCAGCGTTCATGAGGTGACAGGAAACCACATTGGGAGTGCTGAAGTGGAAATGGAAAGTATACATCGAACATGAAGTCTTCTTGAGCAGCTTCCTGTGACCACCTCTCCTCTGAGCATCCTGAACAAAATTCCTTCCTTTTACATGGCATATAGAGTTATATTAAAATTGCACAATGTAATACTATGAGAGGCAGTGTGATTAGTACTTCCCATCTTATTGAAGGAAAAACTAAAGCTTACTGTGGTTAGTCCATCCAAACCATACAGCAAGCCCATCCTGTGTTTAAAGTCTTTGCATTCAGCTTTGACATTTAGAGACTTATAGGCCCCCTTCATATAGGTAAATCCTGAGTATCTTACACACACAGATGCTAAGACATGACCTCTCCCTTGTTCTGAGTAGCACAGCTATTGGTGTTTCCCTAGTGTGGATGTTCTAAAGCATGGTCACTAAGTTCTCTGACAATTCTTTCTTCAAGAGGTGAAATCTACATCTCCTCACTTTTAGTCTGGGCTCTGTGACTGCTTAAATAACAGGAGTAATATGCCTGTTTCTAGACATATAAAAGAGTGGAAGCTGCCATTATCTCTGTCCTGGAATCCTGCTCTAAAACTTCCTACCATTCTGTGAGGAATCCCAAGCAGTATACAGAGCAGCCTACACGGAAAGAAGCTGAAATGCCCATACCCTTGTCCCCAGCCCCCACTCGGCTCTTGAACTATCCACAGCCTGCCCACCAGATGAGTAGATCATCTTGGAAGGAGACCCTCCCCACTCCAGCCGGATTCTGCTGTCAGTTCAATGCAGAGCAGAGAGAATTGCACCCATCCACAGCAGAAAGGGAAAGGGGACTTCGGTAAGCAGAGGCAACAGAGTGGCAGCTGTCCCTCCTCACATGACCACCTGGGACCAACCTTGGGGATGGCAGCC